GTGTTCGTGGGTCTACGGACATGGTTTGGATACATTAGCCATACGTACAAGTGTGACGCAGATGGTGTAGAACCTTTTAGGTAGGGGTACGGTGATGATGCACCGGGACCCCCTTTGTTGAGTGCAGCAGCCGCGCTGCCACTCTCTCTTTCTCCTCCTGCTTTCCGAGCACGACAGCGTCCTGGGTACGGGCGTTGTCTCACCGTCTGAAGTTAATACACTACACAAACAAGTCCCGATAAGTACGCGGAGTACGGCCGACAAACACTTATTGTTGCTGAGTTCCTCCACGCACTTGCATATCGTCATGTAGTTGAAGGTCGGTCTCCGGGTTGTTCGCGCGATCACTACTATGAGGCACTTTTGCGGCATTTAGAAGAAAACACCGCATAGGGAGCGCTCTTTTCGGAGTGCGTCCCTTCGCCTTAGAATGTGCGGTGAATACGCACACACAGCACACGCATGGAACTACAAACGCACGATACACCCCAGACACGAGTACCAAACTTTTGAACAGTTCACCCACCACGAAAATGCTCGAATTTGATTGAAAGGCTTGATGATGTTGACGTTCCAAATTCGGACACGTCAACCGCGAACCAATAGTCACTTTAAAAAACAACAGAAAAAGTGCGACCAATGGAACAATCAGAGGGGACTAATCACAAGAAATTGCCATGTCACGTTACGACCAGCTTGACCAGATATCTCTCTCTTTCTCTGTCTCTCCAAACAGTGCGGTCTCTGAACGGCAACTAACTGTAGACTACGTGGCTTCAGCCTTCTGCAGTTTTTGGTCGTGTTGGCGCGGGCCCGCCAGGTCTGCGAAACAAGGGAACGAGGCGAAAACGCGTTCAACGGTCACGCAGAGAGAATACTGACTTGTGGCGTCAAGACGGAGGAGAGTCGAGCTTAAACCGTGGGGTGAAGGAGACACCACAGCAGCGAGAAACCAGTGTACCCAACGCAATTCTGTTTTCAACAGCACGCACAGCCGAAAAGGAAGGGGGTAAATGGAAAGCGAGCGCCAAGGATCCGGAGGTGTGGTTCAACAAGGTCGAGGACGGGGCGGCATGGTTCATGAGGAAATGGCACAGGCAGGAGGCGGAAGCGTCCGCGAAGCGCCAGCGCGCGAGGGAAGCAGAAGCAGAGAGTACGGCCATCTCAGGACCGAAGAGAAAGAGAGCCGGGGAAGCGGCGGTGGGGAGGAAGGAAACGGCGACCGGGCACTGCTGTAGAAGCGAGTAGGGAGACCAAGACAGCACTTGTGGCGAACTTTGTACCCGGTTGATGTTGTTGCGCCCTGTTTCCCTCCCTGCTGTGTGCTATACTCCTTTATGTATGTCCTTTGTATTGCCTTCGGCCTCTGTGCTGTGTTTCTTTTTTCATAACCTCCCTGCCTACTCTGCTGTGTTGGGTACCTTGATCTCGCTTTGCTGTTGCCTTTGTTTTTGTACGTCTGGCTGTCTGCCCATCTGCCGCCTCTTTGTCCTGTTTGCTCCGTTACTCCCATGCCCTGGTGCGTAGTGCCTGGTGCTGGTACGTTACCCTTTGATTTTTTCTTTGGGCGGGTGTGGGAAGCGTCCTCCTTTATTTTTGTTTTTGTTTTATTTTGATCGGTTTCCGAGGGCTCTTTTCTCGAACGGTCGGTGCTATACCTGTTCTTTTCTTTCTATGATTTTGTTTTCTTTTCCGAGTGGTTTGTACCCTATTTTTGTTTTGTTATCTCGCGGCGTCGTATGTGCCGGGTTTTGAGACCACGGACTCCCCATTTTTTGTGGACTATAGAGCTAATGTGAGAAACAACAACAACAACAACAACAACAACAACAACAGCCTCCCACTATTCGTTCTCTTCAAGCGATTCCTGACGTGGACGTACAAACGTGCACAAGAATGGGAGCACACATTTCGTTCTAAACTAAGAGAAGAGACTATCTACGAAAGCTCGGCCTTGGTGGGCCCCTCTCGTACGCCTCGAGTACATTGTGCAATAGTTCTCAGGTGTAAAGCGGAAAGAGTCGTGGCATTTGATGTACACCAGATGATGAGTACATACCTGGTGTCGGGCGCCACTGCCACCGTCGACGGTCCGTTTGTTTGCGCTAAGTAAAGATTTCCGTCCTGTGGGGCGTTTGAGACGAAGATGCGAATGCAGATCGGTTATCATTTGGCTAACGAATCGCTAACGATATTTGAGCTACGTGCTCGAACAGACGCCTGGTCACATTGAATAGTTTTTTGCGTATAGCACGGTGCAAGATATCCCGAGGTCACTGCAAGAACGCGCTCCCATCCGGGTGCAGGTGTTAAGAACAACCGAGTGTTGGATGTCCGGTAATGTCGAGAGAACTCCATATCACATGCACGTGGCCTGCAAGGACTTCTCCCATGTACCAACATGACCGTTTGATTGTTGTCTGTTCTAGTTTCTTGCTGGTCTACAGTATCTACCGACCGAGATTGTTTCTTCCTCTAGCCCTGGTGACGTCAGTGAGTATAGCATTGTCGCATTCTGCGAGCCGGATGTCACATTCCCTGAGCCAGATGCCGCAGCATTGCACATCGATGCGTGCTTGCGGTGCTGCAAATTCTGGCAGCCTTGCCCAACTACGATCACAAACGAATCTTACCTTCCCGATGATATGCCGACCATCGGTAGGGTCTAGCTCAGGGAGGGTATCGCCTGGGGGTGCGCGGAGTGGCGGCCCCTTGCCCGAAGGTGACCACAACTGAAATCCTCCGCCTCTCGAAACCCCTGGGAACAAGTCCATTTTGTCTGGGTGCACAATTGGTGCCTTCAAGGGACGGTGGTGAAAGAAAGAGGGAGAGTAGATGGGGAGTAGAGGGCGCGAGACGTGACCAGCTGCCGAACCTTCGTACGGCACCAGGTAGTCCAAATCTGTGTTGCTTTCCGCCCTCCAACGAAAATACCGAGATAGAATCCATTGGGTTGATGTTTCCACCATATTCAATAGAAGACATGGAAGGCTCAGCAAGCCCGCACCGGCTTGTGTCTTACGAGTAAGAGCCAGACTGGACATATTGTACCAAGAAGCATGGTGCGCAAGCTCAACCTCGTATGCACTGGAATATGTCGCGTTCGGTTTCGTGCGATTTTTTGTGTGATTCGTTTCTGGCAGTTTCAGCACATGCGTCCATTGTAGTCGTACCTTGCAGGAAAGGCAAGTGCCGACAGCCATTCCGTCTGGTTTGACCGCTCTCCCGAAGCCATCGGTGAGCTGCTTGCTCAGCGCCAGAGCTCCCTCCGGGTCAGGCTCCCATGCGTCCCAGGCTGAATTGGAGATCGAGCGTCGGTGCGACGTGGTTACACAAGGCACAGTGGCAGCGTACAGAAGGTCTTCGCTCGGTTTTTTGCTTCGCGACAGGGCTAAGACGGCAACGAATAGAACCCGCGGGTATTCGTCGAGAGCTTGCTGTCCACTACCCACATGAGTTAGCTCTCTCACTGTCGATACCCCTAGACGATAGCCCATACCCCCGGAACCGACTGTTCCGCCAGCCGAATACTGCACGCTGCTGTCGATGCGTTGTAACCTGCAAGCAATCGCTGTGCATGCTTCCCAAAAATCTCGAAATTTGGTGACAACCGAAGCATGCACAACGTCAACAAGAGGTCCTCAGGCACGAGGTTATTCTCTCCGGGCCGGCCCCCCGGGCTCAAGGCCGTTGAGCCAAACAAGCTGCATTTTGTCCAGGGGACATGCGGCACTGACCACGATGGCGACAAGTCATGCCTTCGACTATGGAGGTGTCTCTACTACCGGGTGAACTACACACAACAACCCCAACAATCAACCCCAATTCTCGACCGGCACCAATACAGAAATTACACACGCCAACGCTACTCCATCGTTCTGTAGTAAATAGTACCACGCACCGTCAATGTCGTTGTTGCTCTGCGTCCCGCCAGGCCCTCCTTTCCCGCCTCTTTGTGCGGGCGTTCCACCGTAACCATTCGGCCCCGCCGGTCCTGTCGGAATAACCCCCTGCACGGCCGTCGATCCCCCGCTTCCCCTTCGGATAACCGCGTTGTTTACCCTTCCGTGGGGACACCCAGAAATCGGAGGTTCGACACCGGCCCCGCACGAGCAGGGCAGAAAACGGGAAAAAAAATTACTCTTAAGGGAGACGCGAACCGGAATTTGTGTGACGTCAGTGGGCGGGTTCGTGAGGGTATAGGCCAGTTGTGCGCGGCATCTGATGCGGGGAATATTTCGTCGACGTGCTATGGGAGAGCGAATAGGGCAGAGAGAGAAGGAGACAGAGAGGGGGGGGGTGAAGGTTAAGACGAGGGGAGGGAGGGAGGGAGGGGAGTATGGACACGTTTCAGACGCTAACCTCGTAACGATGGCGGCCATTCTCTTCTCCAGATCCTTCCTGTCCGCCTTCTCCTCCAACAGGTTAAACACCTCGTCTCGGGTGATAGGCCCCGTCAGCGGGTTTCCTTCGCCGCTGCCCGTTCCCACAGAAGCCGCGGAAGAGCGCCGCCTCTCTGTGCTGTTTCGTCGCTCTTGGCCCTGCAGTGATCGATTGGTGTGAGCGTAAGGATGGATTGCTTAAGAAATGGAAAGCACCTGGATGGACAGGCAGTCAACAATAGTGCTTCGATAAGGGCTCTGTGATGACCAGAAGTCATGACTTATAAGTTGATGCACGTTGGTCAATTCTTCTTATTCACGATCGTTCCCGTTTGCTCACTGTGGCTCCAAGTTTCTACGGCCAAGCCGCTCTAACTGAAAGGCTCCGATCCGGGGGCCTGCCATGTTTCGCAAGAGAGGTTCAGCACGTCTTCTTCTCATGTTTGCTTAGACAGAGGAGATTGCTGAAGTTAGAAGATCAAGTACAGCAGCACTCTCTTTCGCCAGCATTTGAATTATCCACCTAGCCTCTCGAAAGCTGCTCTCAAACTCGAAATAGACCACCACGACGGGCAGATTATGTTTCGTCTCTGGCATCGACAAAGTCCGGTGCATGTGTTGAGAGGCAAGGTGGGTTCATTAGTGGGTTCATTAATGGTCCTACAGCCAACCGTTCATAGGACTCAACCAAGAAGCCGGCACACGCAGACACCGGATGAGCCGACCCCCCACAGTGCGAAGCAAGCCTATGCTGTCCGGCCCACCAGCCGGCGGGAACAAATAGCTTTCGGGCGGTGCGATGAACGGTCGAACAGACATCTGAAGTTCGTTGACTATATCATCGCTGTCTTCGGGATTGAGAAGACGTGAAGAATAAAAGCAGTCGATATCGAGGCCAGCTCATGAACAGCCCAAGGGCCCTTTGGGCATTATTTCGGAGTTTCTCATAAAGTAGAACTCTTGCTGTCTGCGCGGGGCACTCACGTTCAAGGACACCATGAACTGCTTCAGTTCCAAGAGCTCCCTCCGGTCCGCCTTGTTGGCACTCAGCTGCTCGATGACGTTCTGGAGATTGTTGGCTCGTTTCTGCCGTACGCCGCAGGCAAAGAAGAAGGAGAGGAAGGTATGAAAAACCAGTTTTCGAACGACTGCAAAGCAACCATCGGGATCGGGCCAGAGAAACTATGGAGATCCCCTTCATAAAGGGTACAATCCGCTCACCGTCTGTCGAGGACCATACCCGCGTTCACCAAACGGCCTGACTTGTACCCGAAGTCATGCCGAGCACGGGTGTTTACTAGAGGTTCTCTCGATATCAACCACTGGTTTAACCTCAGGCAGGGGTCCTTAAGGGAGTGTACCCAGATGCACGGCATCGTCGGAGTTGGAGGAGGGGGCAGGGAAATCTCGACGAGCACAAGAGTTGTGAAACGGTCACGATGAGTACGTGATCGGCTCCCTTGTGGTCGATCTCGAATCAAATTCGAAGCGTGTGTAAAACGGGCACGATGGGCTGGCAGCCTTGGTGACCTGTACCCCCTCGGTCAACGAATGCGTCGCGCAGTGGCACACACCGTGCTGGAGCTTTGGCTCACCGCAAGCAACACATGAAATTTTACTCCGACACCTAGGGACTGCGCCGATTACCTTGAACTCTTGCTCGTCCTGCTCTGTCGAGGACAAGGCCTTGTGCAAGTGGTTGATGATCTCTTCGTACCGTGCTTCCACGTGTTCGTCCACGTACGCTGAGTGAACCATGCGGCGCAACAGGGTAATGACATGTGAGAAACGCGACACACGACGTCGCCGGCGTTTTTGATACTTGTTGAACCTGTCGTCAGCTCTGTTTCACATGCCATGATCGCCTGGTGGCTACGAAAGACGCAATGGACAGCTCTTTAGTGTAGGATACAGTTATTGAGACGTACTGGAGCGCCCTCGTCCCATCGAATGTGCACACTTTGGTTGTTCCGAAAGTCGTTGTTCGCCCCCCCCCCGTACGATAGTAACCAAGGAAATCTCATAAACGTGCGTTGTTCAATGTTGGTAGACCCGAGTCTGTTTGCTTGAAAGCTCTTGAGTAGTTCCGTGTTTACGCGGCAGCAAGTTCATATCTTCGTAACGAGCAGAAAACAGCGGGAGCAGTATCGACACCAACTCGATACCCTTCAAAAATGACACCCTCATCCTTGTGGATCACATTTGTCTATCTTCGCCAGCAGCTCTTGCTGGATGACGTCGAGCTGCTCGGCAATAGACGTCTGCCCTCTTCGTATCTCCCCTAGGTCGATGTCGTCATTCTTTGCCAATTTCACCTGCACAATACCAGGGGAGATATTTTTTCGACCGTCGTTCACGCCGAAGCACTAGGCGTCGGCACCACTTCGTTGCCGACATGCAAATCGTTTGGAAGGGCAGAAGCGCTCGAAACTGATTGGGTTGGGGTTGGCGGTAGCGGCCGCCTACGTCGATTAACGCATTGCTTCAACAGTATCGGGGACCCACAACGGCACCCTCACACGTAACATTTTCGATGTGCAACAGATGAGCTTATAATTGTCGTCGCATGTTTATTTGTATCTGTATCGCATATCTGTTTTTCGACCTTGGCAGTTCTAAGCGTTGAGGGCTTACCTGCATTTCCTCGATGTTCTCTCTGTTGACACGTATTCCTTCTGCCAGCTGACCTTCCGCCTTTGTCAGGACCTCGCTCTGTTGTCGGAGGGCCTGTGGATTTGCGCGTGCAACAAGGCAAGGAGTCGAGGTCGACCTGAGTCGAGGTGGAGGCTTGACATGATCCGCATGAGAGTGAAAGCAGCGTACCAAAGTAGGCGCTGCCTAGGCCTGAAGCATGAACCTCTCCGCGTTTTGTATTGGCTGATACATGGCGGACACCTTGAGGGCCACGCGATATGCGCGGGTAGCAATCTTTCGTTGCCCACGCCAACTTATTGCCGGAAGCAAGGCTGCGTCAATGCAATCAATGCGGTAACCTTCGAGTTATCCATGGCTACAGCCGAGATAAAAAGATGCCGGGATCAAGCCCGACAAGGCAGAATGGCCTTGTCTTCGACTGCATGGCTGCAAGCACTACCTTAGATTGCTCGTGGATCTTGACGTTGTACTCCGTCAGCGTGATCTGCAACTTCTGGACCACCGCGTTGAGGGGCATCGGCTCGCCCATATGGTCGGTGGTCACGTACACGTCATCCCCTGAGAGATTCGCAAAAGAGAGGACACAGCACGCACGTCAATTGGCGATAAAGCAAAGCACCTGTTTAGGCTACGACGCGACACCAAACAACCTGAAGAAATAATGTATCAAGGCAGTCCCTAATAGTCGCCGAGCTCGGTTTTACGTGTACAGCCAACTGGCAGCTTGACCGTATCCATAGGCTACAAGCGGAGACTTTCCTCCGCGCACCTGATATCGTGGTTAACGCTTCCTCCAAGATTGAAACCCTCCCGGCCAATCGATCGATCTCTCCAAATCGTGCCTCGTGTGCCTTGAGCGTGGCCGTATGCGTCTCGAGCCTGCAGGACATGATTTTCGGTTTGCTGCCATCACCACCGTGTTGTGCTGCATGCCACGAGTGAAAACGCGATGTACGGCTTTGTTCTATTTTCACGGTCTCCAAGGGGTACCGAGGGCCAGCCCTCAAGGCAGGTTTGCAAGTCCCACTGCAGTGTGTATCACCACGGAAGCTGCTGTGTGTTCCCCTGGTATGTTTTCTTCACCAATGCTGTTGCCGATATCGACGGGCAAATAAGGCAAAATAGCGGCTGAGTCCCCTCTCACCATGGGGCATTTGGGGACGGACTGGGGGAGATATCGATGGAAATGCACAAGGATGCTAGTTGCAATGCGTCCATGATTAACTTTGCACATCTTTGCGGCGGAGGAGCGGTCTACGGGCAGCGTCCTCTCTTACCTGTGTTGCACGGAGACGATTTTCTCCTCGAGCTTCTTGGCGATATCGATAAGCTTCAAGGCCTCCTCGATCTTGCCCCGCATGTTCTGCATCTCTCCCTGCATCGCCGTGATTGTCCCTTCTGCTTTCTGGAGCTGAGTCTCCTGGGTGTTGATCTGATCAATCACAACAACCAAACCGAGGGCCAACCGTTGCTGTAACGTGTCCAGTGCGATTCACGTGTGACCCTAATGTGATTGCTGGAAAGGCCGCAAACCGCTAAAACGTTGCATCACAAGGAATTGCGGCCTTTGACCGTCTACGTGATGAGGTGAAATACATACTGCGATTCTACGATCGAAGCACGACCAGGTACTGGTGAGAAAAATGCAAATCTATGGTGAATTTCACGGACGACAGCGCATTGAATGTTCCTGACTTCCCTTTCATGAGAGTCGACGGTATCGGTCACCATGGTCTCCGAGTCCAACACCGAAGTGTCCCTGATACAGGACCAGAGCTGTTAGAACAAGCTGGTTCTGCGATTCGCAGCTGTACTACTCTGGACAAGAGACAAGTCTCGAACCCACTTGTGGGGGCCGACCACCACGCAGCCACATCTCGTACACTCCGCAAGCGTGAACATTGATTACGACCGGCTACGGGATTCAAATCGTGTTTCATTGAAAAAGAAATCTCCTGACCTTGCCCACGAGCTTCTGGACTAAATCCTGGGTCCGCCGACTCCTGTCATCCAGGAGCATGAAGTTGGCGTTGGCTTCTCTCCGAAGCTGCCTAATGATGCGGTTCTGCTCTTTCAGGGCGAATACCATCACCTGATGGTGTCAAGTCGTTGCGAAGCGACGGCAGGAACTTCAAACAAGAGGGCCTCTGCACCGGAATAAGCTCCGACTCTGTGAATGCTGCCGGTATTGGCAGCCTGAGACATCGATTGCTCTCGACCCGGCATGTTTCCTTGTTCAGTCTGGCTGCCGTGACAAAGTGTCTTGCCACCAAAGTGCATGAGGCATGGTCTCTTTTTGAATGTTGCAAAGGAAAATAGTGTCACAAAAGTTCATTTTTCACACACTGCATTTGCCCCAGGGTGCATGCACAGCTTGATGTGCATTTGTCCGGCTCGCCTTTTTCGATACTCGAGGCTTTTCCAGCATCTGTTTTCCCTCGAGCTCGTCGGCGATATGGTCAAGCATACCGTCCATATCATCCGTCTCCGGGCGCTCCTCTGGGTACCCAGGCGGCTGCGTTATCAGCGTGGGTCCGTCCATAGTTTTCAACGCCGAGCAGAGAGCGAAACGTTTTCAATACCTATCGCTCGCAGGAGGCGAGCTCCGGCCGCTTTCGTGTTTCGTCTGCTGTTGGCGTGTGGTGGGTGCACAGCAGTTTCCACTTCCACTGCAGCAACACCTACCAACATACAAAATAGCGACTACTACTGTACCAAGCAACAGCTCTCGCCGCAACTTCCCGACAAGTACGCTACAAAGCGATGGAAAGCCCGCGCGCGATAGAGAGAGAGATAACGAAAAAAGGGTCGAGTACGCGGCGATACGGCGGTATAGTACAGCACAATCTGACAGCTTCGGAACGGTACAGATTGTGCCGCATTCTTCCTGGGGCTCCGCGCACAGGGAAGGATCACACGCAGGTCCACAAGCCGCAGTTTCGACTTGTGAGGGCCCCGTCTGAGAACGACTTGTTTTTTTTTGTGTGTTTGAGAAGATCAGAGAGAGAGACCAAGCTCATCTGTGTCGCCGTTCTACTACCGCACTACCGCTTGAAAGAGTTAAACATCCTTGTGGCCAATTCTCTCTGGAGCAAGCGCTTCTTCCGCTGTGCAAAAGCATCACTTTCCGACGGGTGAGCTGCGGGGTTTTGTGGTTTGCGTCTCTCTATCCCTCTCGTAATCGTTTGCCGCAGAACACGCGGGTGAACCAGAATTGGGCGGTGGCCGGCTGCTGTGTGTGCATAGCCGGTCTCTTGTGTACTCATGTGCTGGCCACCCCAAGCTGTCACAGACCAGTTCGCAGTGTTGCACCCCTCCTGTAGCTGGCGCTCTTTCGTTTCGCGGTGTAGCGGGCTAGATGCCAAACACACCAAGAACTTTTTACCCGATTTAATACCGTCGCGCTGCTAAGGAAGGACCCCCAACACACACACCTGACAAGAGGACGGCACCCGCCGCAGCAGTACACACGATGCCACAGCGGGTGCAACCTTGTTGCGACGTCACCCTAGCTGCCCGTGTAGGGATTGGAACGGACTTGCGTACGTTTGCTCGCGTGCGGCGCTCGTGTCTGCATTGCTGTTGCTTCGACCAAAGCTTGTCTGCACGACATCATCATCGATCCAAAAAAATCCACATGTAAATTTACAAGTACGCGCTCGCAACCTTGCAAACGTCCCCACCTCTCGGCATCATCACAGGCGTATCATGCTCCTGTTACTGTAAGAGTCGACGTACAGAACCTTAGCCAGACGTACAATCGTGGAGTTCATCATCACCCCTTTCGGTCATGGCACACAGCAGTGTGCATAGAGGTAGTCTTGCGTACGACCAGACTATGTATCGCATTGACACTGAGACAAAAGCAGACTCAACCCACGTCTCGATGCCCGCGCTGGACCGGCCGACCAATGAGGCGTGTGCACGCAGTTGTGACCTTGCTTTGTTCGTATGCATACCGAAGTAGGCGAAGAGGTGGCACCCCTCCTAGACCTACAAAGCCCGGTGGCTCCACAACAAAGCTTGCGTCAATACAGTGCCAAGAGAGGTGGTATTGGAAACATCTCGTCGACGGCTTACCGTAGACGGGCGTGTCGGGCTATCCTCCTCACCCACTTGGTTACGGAGCAATTGAGGTTCGAAGGTCGGTCTCCGCGAGGTGCGATCTCTTCGCCCTTTACGGTACTTGCTGTTGATTATGATGGCAAGCGCTGTATTGTTTTCCTCTTCTTTCGGGCTGATTCCCCCATGTGCTGGCAGCTGGCGGCTTCGTTGTGCGTGATGTCCACTACTCCGGAGTACTGATGTGACTGCTGCAGTAGCACCGTCAAACGACGGCGTCTTGTCTGGTGTCAAGCCAAAAGCAATGGGCGGCATAATTTCTAGTTTTAGCCAATAGTCTTGGACAAATCATTGGTAAGGAGTCAGCACATCTGGCACGCAAGCACATCCTTCCTGAAATCGCACCGTGCTCAACGGTACAAGAAAAAGGTGCATGCCACTGGAAGGCGTATTCAGAGTCAGCTTGTTCGTCGCTGCGCTTGCCTTGCGTACACACCTGTAACGGCCGCGATTGGCGCACCGAAACTCGACCCGCGAGTCCATTTGGTCTCGATACGACTTGCCCTGGTGGAAGCAGCAGCTGTTCAATGGCTCGTCTTTGTGACATTGAATGCTGTTCTATGTTGCTTTGCCTGCTGTAATCGAACCTTCGGGCGCCATTTGATTCGGCTTTTTCCGGGTACCCATTTGTGAAGTACCCAACCCCCTCCCCCGCCACCCTCAACCGATCGCAACAAACACACCCACCTTCTGCGTCTTGCTGCCCCCGCTTTCTTACACTGCTGCCAAGGACAGAGAGTGCGTTACTGCGAGTAGATGTCGTACAACAACTTCGCTCCCCCGGCGGGAGGAATGCGCGGCGCCCCACCCCCAGGGGGTCCTAGCTACGGACAACCGCCGCCGCCGCCTGGCGGCCCTCCCTCGGGCACTACCACGCTCGGTGGCCAGGTTCGTGATGTGTCGGTTTCCACTGGGGATGGTTTTGTTGGTTTCTTTGGGTTCGTTTTGTGAGCAGCTGCGGCTGCTACTATGTGATGCTTGTTTTTCTGTTTCGGGTGCATCTCTCTAACCTTGCCTCTCGCCATTGGGGTGCATCTCTCCAACCTTCCCTCTCTCGCTATGTCTCTCACTCTGCGTCTCTCTCTCTCTCTCACTATGCCGACTCTCTTGTTTGTCCTGTCTCCCTCCCTCGTCTCTCTCCCCCGCCCGAGTATGCCTCCGTCCAAATCACTTGTTAAAAGCCATGTCCACCGCACGCCATCTCCTCCCACACCTGCAGGTTTCAAAAAAATAATGCGGTAATTCCTACCCCAAATCATCCTCTCAGCCGCATCCCCAACCCTCAACCACCATTCCTCATCTCAACCCCCCGCGATCCGCTCCTGTCACCCGTGGATGACAGCAGCAGCAGCAACAGCAGCTGCAACCGTTGTATGGGGGAGGAGGAAGCTATGCCCCCCCCACCTCCGGCCCAGTGGGTCGAACACCAGGAGCGGCTGGGCCCCCGGCTCAGCAATACGGGGGCTACGGCGGGGGCGGGGGCGGGGCTCCGCCGGGGGGGCCGCCCCCCCCCCAACAACCACCGGCGGCGGCGGCGGCGACGGCTGGGTTCGGAGGACAGCCGCCGTTTGGCCGAGGAGGCCAGGCTTCCAACGGGATGCGGATGGAGGCAACGCCTCAGCCGCCCATGCCGGGGGCCCCCATGGGAGGTCCCCCGCCGCAACAGCAGAAGCCAGCGCAGCAGGAGTCTCTTGGCGGCGGCGCGGGCGCTCCGTCGAGCGGACGCGGAGCTCAGTTTTTTTCGGTGGGCGGAGGGGTCNCTCAGCGGTTAGACCATTGACCACGCGTCCTCGAGAGGACGGAACATTGTTCCCACAGGACCGATCACCGATGGCCAATCGTTCCTTTCTACTTGGTGGTGGGGGGGGGCGGGGGGCGAACGACACATGTACCATTGCCTTGTTTGTCGAGAAGGAGGAGGGGGGTTGTCGTGCGTGTAGGCACGTCAGAGGCGTTGTTTGTTTCCCTTCTTTTGACTCAGGTGTGGTGGTGCTCCCAGCGACGCGGAACGAAAGGCAACCCAGCACCACTTTGTGTGCCACTTTGCGTGAACTCGCTAGAGTGTCTTGGCAGGCTTTTTTTGCCGACGGTGTGCATTCCCCACGGCTGAATCCGACCGCGTCCAGTCTGTGAGCCTTGGCGTTGATGCCGGTTGGCTCTCCGTCTTGATCGAGTCTAGGCGCATTCTTCTTCCCTAGTTGGTGTGGTTTTCTGCGGTTGGGATTCATCAGCCTTGATGAACGCCTGCTGCGGTGCAGAGCAGTGTATCGCCATGCGTAGACATTGGTCGCCGTAGAGGAGAGAAGAAATACCCCCCCGAGCTATGCCCCCAAGACTCTACACCAAATCCCGCAGCAGGTATTCCTCACCGAACCCAACCCACTCGCCCACCTTACACGCCTCTCTCTCTCTAACTCTGTGCATGAATCGTTTGTGACGAAATTCGATTCGATCGATCGGCAGGGAGGCCCTCTCACCGCCCCCCCTATGGGCGCGGCACCGCCAGGCGGCATGGGCATGCCACCTCCGCCAACGAGCCAGGGCTTGGCCAATCAGATGGGACAGATGTCTCTGGGCCCGCCACCCAACGGCATGGGAGGTGAGCATTCGGTCATTTCCTGGTCGTGTTTGTTGTTGTGACTTTGGGTGTAGCCGGCTTGGGTATGGCTCTTGTCGCACGGTAGTAAATAGTAACACCGTAGGGTGCAAAGGGGGGCCCGCAGTAGGGTTTTAGGGCGGGGGGCTGCGTGCAGGGCCGCGGAGAGAAAGGATTTTTGATTGTTTGATTGGTCCAAGGGAGAGGGAGTTTGCGTGTTGCGTCTACGGAGCGGTGTGTTGTGCGCGCTTTGTTGGGGTGACAGTGCGGCTTTTTGTTCGCCGGCCGGCCCGGTGTGTAGTGGGGGGATGGTGGAGGTATGCATACGTTCGTCGTGGCTGTTGGTGGATTTGATCAAGTTTGCCGCGTCCGCAACCTTCTCTTCTGCATGTGTTGCTGAGCAGCTACGATGGGAACGCCACGCCTACGTTACGCCCACCAATCTCGTCGCATTCCTGTACGATAGCATAGCACGAGCTACCCAGCAGCAAATACTCCCTCCCTCACGCCCACTAGCGGTCGCGCTCTCGCTAACGTCCCACGGCATCTCGTTTCACCTCCCACCAAAATTGCACGCCACCCCGAACACAGGCAGGCACCCACTTTTTGCTCGCTCATCTCGCTGTGCTCCCCCCCCTCGCTCGGTACACTCCTTATTTTGCTTATCTCGACGCAATCCACCACGACGCATCAGCAGCGCCCCCTCACGGAGGCGGCTACGGAGGCCGGCCGGCGGGGCCCGGCGGCCAGGCACCGGGGGGGGGGGGGGGGGGGGGGAG